TTTAAAGATGATGTTTGGAATAGTTTCCTGGGCACAGGGATCCAAGCCTATAAACCAGTGAACTATATGATTACTATTTTCAGTCCCTAGAGGAGTCAGATGAGTTTGACATTTATTCTATCTTGGGCTAAAGTCCAAACCCTGTCAAGGCTATCTGTTCCCTGTCATACATCTCTCTGGACCAGCGGTTCTCAACCTGTGGGTCGCAACCCCTTTGGGGGTCGAAAGACCCTTTCACAGGAGTCGCCTAAGACCATCGGAAAACACACATATAATTACATATTGTTTTTGTGATTAATCACTATGCTTTAATTATGTTCAATTTGTAACAATGAAATTGGGTTCACCACAACATGAGGAACTGTATTAAAGGGTCGCGGCATTAGGAAGGTTGAGAACCACTGCTCTGGACCAAAGAATGCATCCCACACCCCAGTGTGCAGAAATAGGCTCCCCAAATCCCAACGTGACATGAACATAGTGTATTCCTTACCATCTATAAAGTAGTTATTAACTTGGTACTAAAACTGGTAACTGAAACATTATTGAAAATACAGTGTGAAGATATGTAGGGCTGACCGGATCACTTAGGTCCGTGGTCGGCAAACCTCGGCTCATGAGCCACATGCGGCTCTTTGGCCCCTTTAGTGTGGTTCTTCCACAAAATACCACGTGTGGGCGCGCGCGTACAGTACGATTGAAACTTCGTGGCCCATGTGCAAAAGTCGGTATTTTGTGGAAGAGCCGGTATTTTGTGGAAGAGCCACACTGAAGGGGCCAAAGAGCCGCATGTGGCTCATGAGCCCAGGTTTGCCAAGCCGCAGTTTGCTGACCACTGACTTAGGTGAATGTGTTTTGTTCAAATATGAGAGGAACTAAAGGGGGGACAGTTTTAACAAAGGACATGAACCAACCATTCCCAATTTTGTGGCTTAAAACAATAACTTATTTCTTGTGATTCTGTGGGTTGTCTGGCGTCAGCGAGGCAGCTCTGCTAGTTTTATGTGGGGTCCACACATAGCTGTGTTCATTTAGAGCTCGGCTGGTGCTGGAACGTCCAAGATGGCCTCTCATCCTTGTGTCCCTCTCCACGTAGTCTCTAAGCATTCGGTAATTTGGATTGGCCTTCCTTACAGCATGGCAGTTGGGCTTCAAAAAGGAGAAGGTAAAAGATGCCAGTCCTCTGAAAGCCTGGCTCAAGAGTCCCAGAACATTCCTCCCCTGCTTTCTATTGATCACGAGTGATAAGGTGGGTGACAGGCTCCGCTCTACTTGTGAGCAGCAACATGCACAGATGGAAGAATTGTTGAAGTACCACAGTTTCCCTAAGGAAAATTTAAGTGCTATTACCATGGGAAGGACAATTTAAAAAACCAAAAAACCCCAGCCCTTGTTGATCCGTGTTGGACTACTTGTCTATACCACATTCCTGTGTCTGTTCATCTAGTTGTTGGATTGTAAGCTCTGCTTGCTGGAAGGGACATCCTCAATTTGTCTTCTGTAGGCCTTTTCATTCAGGGGAAAATCCTAGAAGCTTGTTAGCTCTTTTCCCACTAATCAGGCTAGTCTTGGTACATTCATGAGTATAAGAGACAATTTTTTTCATTGAATTTTTTATTTTATTTGGAGGGCATAGGGTGGGATAAATGGTGATGGAAAAAATAAGAGGCAAATTTTGTACATATTGTTAACTTCTGGAATATAAAGGCCAAGGGGACATAATAGATTCCCCTACACTGGTGGTGGAGGATGTGGTGTTTTTGTTAAATAAGTACTATCTTGGGATGGTTTGGGCATTTTTCTAAGTATAACCTATGCTTCTATTAGAGTGCTATCATGCAGTGATTCTCAAATGTAGTTCCCAGGGCGGGAGCAGGGTGGAAGGAATCAATGAGAGAAAAAAGGAGACATCTGTAATACTTTAAGCAATAAAGATAAACTAAAAACAAACAAACAAACAAAAACAAAGTGTAGTTTCTGGGGCCCGCAGCATCAGTATCATTTGGGGCTTGTCAGAAATGCAAAATTTGGGGTCCCAGCCTTAACCTACTGAATCAGAAACTCTGAAGATGGGCCCAGTAATCTGTGTTTAACAAGGTTTCCAGATGATTCTTGTGCATACTAAAGTTTAGCGACAGCAGTCATAGATGGTCCATAAAAATCCCTTTCGATACTGTCATTTTCCTGAATTGTGCTCAACAAATGGCACTCACTTGGTACAGATGGCTTATTTCTAAGTAATTTGAAATAGAAATAGGGGCCAAGACAACTGACATTTTATCAACAGTCATTATCTTTCAGATTGTTTTCTCCTTCAGGATCCTGCCTGTATAGGAGACTAGAAAAATCTGTCCTCATTGTTTACTTTTCTGTGCTACTAACAGTTATGAGACTAGTGTTTAGATCCGGGTTAACTAAAGAAGCCTTAAGGGCTGTGATGCTGGTAGTATCCCCAGAGGCCACTCTTCCCATTTCTATTATTTGAGCAAATATTTATCTTTAGCCTGGTAATTCTCTACTTCCCGTGGTTGAATGTGACACTAAAGAGCAAATCATGAAAGGGAACTCTGAGGGTCTTTGAGAATGCTACTGTTGGCTAGCTACTGGATTGCCTGGAGTGGTATTTATTATTGGCTTCAGTGGTACTGGGCAGTGAGTACAGTGATTGGTTGCAACTGTAGCTCAGTTGTACCACAGGCTGTGTTTCAGTCAGTACCTTTGATCTGTAACATGCCCTGAAATGTGCAGTGGGGAATCCTATATAATAAAAGCCCAATATGCAGATTGTCCCCTCGATCGGGAGTTCGACCAGGGGGCGGGGCTGTCCAGCCAACCGCGAGAAGGGAGGCCCTGGCCAACCGCCTGCAGCCACTAAGGACCCTACCTGTGCATGAATTTCGTGCACTGGGCCTCTAGTATGATATAAAAACTTATCATATAAAAAGTGTCTTTCTCTTCTAGGGGTTTATCACATGGCAGAGGAAATAAAATATGTGCATAACAATTAAATATGATGCAGATTGAGTGCCCTGAGAGAGGATTTGAGTGTTACAGAGAGTTCAAAGAAGATAGTGATCCCTTGGTGGATGGAGACCAATGAAGGCTTCATGGAGGAAGTGGCATTTCAGCTGAATCTTTGATAGGTAGGAATATGAGTGTGTGGGGAGGGCAGTTCATGTCTGAGCATGAGGAAGAAGCTGGAGTCAAGAACCAGCAGGTGACTGTATCTCTAGCACCTATTCAGTGACTGACACACAGTAGGTGCTCAATAAATATCATGTGTTCTGTCTGACTCATAGACAGACCATTGGCTGACTAGAAGATTTTGGTTTTTCCTTTCTTTGGAAAAAGACAAAAGAAGAAATATAATCTTACAAAATGTAAAAATCAACTCAAAGATATACTGATTTCAGATACATTAGGTGTGAGAGCAAAGTGCTTTTTTGAGTCTTAAAGGCAGCTGAAAATGTGAAACTGGAGTTCAAGTTAGAGAACAATACATTATTGATTTTGGAGATAGCTTTGTGCTGAATAGCTTCCTTCCCCCACCACACTCTAGCCTACAACTTTCTCTACTCTGCTCCAGAGCCCAGGAGGCAGGCTTGTATGCTCTAGGACAGTGATGGCGAACCTTTTGAGCTCAGCGTGTCAGCATTTTGAAAAACCCTAACTTAATTCTGGTGCCGTGTCACATATAGAAATTTTTTTATATTTGCAACCATAGTAAAACAAAGACTTATATTTTTGATATTTATTTTATATGTTAAATGCCATTTAACAAAGAAAAATCAACCAAAAAAATGAGTTCGCGTGTCACCTCTGACACGTGTGTCATAGGTTTGCCATCACTGCCCTAGGACATCAAGCTGGACTTCCTTGCTTTCTGGCTTCCCGGAGAGCTTAGCCAAAGTGAAGACTGGCAAGAGTCTGACGGGAGGCGGGAGGATAAGGTGGATGTATTTCTTTCTCCCAGTTCCCTATTTGGGGAGCTGGCTGGGTCACTGCTCAACTGAAGGCCACAACTCCTGGCCACTAGCTCACGAGGAAATGGGTTATAGTGACAGGGTGGCGTGTGTGCGAATCTTTGTTCCTCAAAGAGCCAGAAACCAGCCCAGTGGTGCAAGGCTGGTTTGAAGTAGAATCCTTTTTACCAGGCACTGCCAGTGAGTCCCACACAGGAATAGAGCGATCAGAGTGGAGAACCCAAATAGAAAAACACGTTTAAGGAGACTGGAGAGAGTCTCACTCTTCTGAAGCTCACCTAGTGTTTCCCAGCCTTGGCTGAAGGTCTGAGGAACTCCTACCTTGAACTTGGGAGAGCTCAGCAAATCTCCCTAGGGCTGCTGCTCATCGTAGACATAGCTTTTTCTTTCATAAAAGTTGACTCCCTGCTCCTTTCCTGGGTAGGGGGTACCAACCGATAAAACATAAAGGTAAGGGGATTAAACTAAATCATGTGGGGTTGATCACGTCCCACATGAACATTTAAGCCATTGAAGTCATTTGGACATGAGATGGTTACCATTTAAGGCTAATCAGCTGAAAGTAAAGATACATCTTTTCTGTAGGAATTTTTGAAATCTATGTATAAGATTTGAGGAACCATTTGCAGCAGTGTAACCTGAGATCCTATATGGAAACTGTTTAGCCCAGAGTCTGGCACAAAAGTCACTCCTACAGGAAGATAAGGTGAGTTCCTGAGCCCTCACCACGTGTCAGCCCCATAGCTTGTCATTTAACTAACCGCAGCCCTACAACCTTCGGATTCTACGTGCTGAGCAGACTCGGGAGGCGACGTGTGCAGAGTTCTCTTAGGGAAGGGAGCTCCCAAGGGGCGGGTGTGCCGGGGTCCCACGGACACCGTGGGGAGAGTGCGCAGGGGCGCGCGTCCAGGGGCGCAACGCAGGTGCTCGCGTGCTTCTTGGTCCTCCGTGGTGTGGGCCCTGCTCCCCGCCGCCACCTCCGCGCTGCCCGCTGCCTGACCGGACCCCACCAGCTCCATGAGGGCCAAGCAAGTGAACTTGATGATGGCGCTCATCGCAGTCATGCTCTTCAGCTTCTCCTGTTTCTGTATCTACAGGATGACTCAGACCAGTAAGCGGAGGGTGGCTTCTCCCGCCAACTGTCTCGCTTCTGGGCTCCTGGATTGCTGGGTCAGAGAGAAGGGGGTGGGCTGACATAGGGACCTGGCGGGGTCACCTGCTCTCCTAGTAGGGGCTTCACAGATGTAGCCGCCACGCCCTGGTCCTGCCAGCGGTTGAGCTGTAACCGACACCCAGGTCAATCCGCGTGGCTTTGACCGCCACTTGGCACACGCGTTAACGCATTGGCCTGCAGGGCCTCGGGTAGGTTCCCACGTAGGTTCAAGGACCCGATCTGTGTCCAGCCGCACCCCCACCCCCACCCCCACTCCCACCCCAGTATTTCCAGAAACGCCAATGCCTGACTCCAAGAACTGTCCCACAGCCAGCATCTTTCCTCTTTCGTGTTCAGCATTTTTGAGCCACACTTCAGGGCTCCCTCAGTATATTCTGGGAAGCTGAAAAGGATGAGATGGCGGAGAGAGGCATAACCAACAATTTAGAGTGCTGGTTTGGAACCTGACTGACATGGCTCACATTGCCACTTTGAAACACACCAAGGTTTTAATTTATTGTTGTCTGTGGCGTTCCCAAGGTAGCAAATAAAAGTGGAGGTTGCCCAGTTAAATTTGAATTTCAGATAAGCAATGAGTAAGGTGTTAGTGTAAAAATTGCATGGGATACGTTGATACTAAAAAATTGTTTATCTGCAATTCAAATTTAACTTTGGTTTCCTGTATTTTATCTTTCAACTCTAGGCCATAGCATAACATTTTAACATTTATACAGTTAAATTTTGAACTGAAGATGTAGGGATTCTGCAAACATATTAACCCAGCCTTCCAAGACTGTCCTTGGGTTGTTTTAGGTTAAATTTTCATTCTTCTTTTGATACTCATTTATGACTCAGGGTGCACACTAAGTAATCTTGGTAGTAGAGTCAAGGATAAAGTTTGAAAGTGACTTTAGTCCTCTAATGTTTATGTCCTCTAATTAATGCTAAAACTATGTTTTAGTCCCTTAATTAATACTAAATTTTGTCATGTACCCACAATACCAACATTGCATGCCATTTGTTTCAAAGATTAAAAAATGTATATTAATTTATATGATATATACTACTAATCTTTAATCATTTTATACTCTTTCCTTCTTCATTTTCTACAGAGACCATTACCCAAATGTGTCTTTTATTTATTTTGGAACAATAAACAATGAGCAATTTTATTAACAAAAAATGTCATTACTCATAATTAGAAAGCAAAATGTAAACCTCTTTTGATAGTAATTTTGGAAGAGAATTTAGATTGGCAACCTCATAGGACACTTTAATACAATTAACATTCTTTTAATGAAACTGTAGACTTGTTGAGATACATACAACCATTTTGGTGTGTTTTCTAGTTATGACCAGGAAAAACAAGTTTGGTTCCTCAAAGTGTTTATATTCCCATCCTTCCTATGTCCAAGTTCAGAAAATGAGATCTTGAGAATACACTACTCTTTTTTTTTAAATCCTCACCTGAGGATTTGTTTATTAATTTTTAGAGAGAGGAAGGGAGAGAGAGAGTGAGGTGAGAGAGAGAGAAACATCAATGTGCAAGAGAAACATTGATCAGTTGCCTTCTCCCCATCCAAGTGGGGGACCATATATAATCACCAAGGTATCCGACCTGTGGGAATGTACATTTGTGCCTACAACATACCCTGCAGCAGAACTGGTGAGGAGAGAGCTCCCAGGTGTAGTCAGCAGAGTCCAGGATCCAAGGACTAGTGGGCTCTTCATTATTCCTTCCTCCCTTGGCCTGTGCACCTCGAGGATAATTCCATTTCGACAATTCCATTATACTTAGTTGTTCAAATATATGCTCCTTTCCCACATCCCTTGCAAGCCCGATTGTTACTTAATTTAGAACAGGAACTGACTTTATCCATGTTTGTTTACCTATCACAGCACAGTGAGTGGCACATGATACCTATTCAGTGGGAGAAAGAATGAATAGCTCAGCATGCTTCTCCTTACCGGAGGTATTTGGTGAATGAAATAAGGTGGAAAAGTTAGGTCATAGCCACATTGTATAGGACCTTGCATACTAAGGCAAGTTCATTTGGATTTTATTCAGCTAGCATTTAGGGAACCGTTTAAAGTCTTTGAGCAGGGTTTCCAGAAGACTAACTGTGGATTGGAGGTGAGAGACCAATTAAGAGGCAATTATAATACTAGTGCAGCGAGAGGCAATAAAGACCTGAACTCTATAGTGAAGTCAATGATGAGGAAGATGAAACTATTAAAGGTCTATTAACAGTACTTCTTAAATTTTAACACAAATCTCAGTCTCCTGTGAATCATTAAAATACAGCTTCTGACTCAGGAGGCCCTGGGTGAGGCCTGAGATATGTGTATAACAGACTCGCAGCTGGTATCATCGATCTGTGCTGTCCGGTCCGGTAGCTCCTCTTCAGGTAGCGACTGGGCACTCAAAGTGTAGTGTGTGCAACTGAGGAACTGCATTTTAATCTAATTTTAAGTTAATCTAAATTTACATTTTAAAATGGAAGCAGTGCAAAATCTTTCTCCATTAAGAATTTTTTTTTGTTTTGTTTTGGTAGGACTACATTTTAGTATAAGTGTTAGTTTAGCATCTGAATTAAGATGTACTGTAAGTGTAAAATACACACAGGATTTTCAATACCATTTATATATATCCTTTTTTTAGTACAAAAACAAAGAATGTAAACTATTTCATTAATTGCTTTTTATGTTGATTACATATTGAGAAAAGTTTTTAGATATTTAGGACTAAGTTAAATATATTATTGATACCTTCACTGGTTTCTTCTTACCCTTTTTTAAAGGTGACTAGTAGAAAATCTACACTTACAAAGGTGGCTTGCATTTCATTTCTACTGGCCCCTTGCTGTGAGGAGCGAAGGTCGGTGGTTCTCAGGACCTCACCTGGTTCATGGGTGGGAGTCCCATTGGCCCATTGCACATGTGGACTGATGTTTCTTTTCACAATTTTACCACAATTGACTCAAAACATCAAATTATCGTTTATTTCAAACTTTGCAGGAAAGGTAGTTTTAAAACAGTCCACCCTCACAAAGTACCTCAGTGATTATGTGACTAATATAAATAACTTAAATAGAATATTGATGAGTTGAATTACCAGGTAAGAATGAACGAGAAGCAGACCTAAGCCTAGAGATTGTGTCCTTTAACATTTCTGTATGGTTGTTTCTGCAAATACTACTTCCTCTAGAGAAAACGCTTTCTTTTCATGTTTACCAAATTGATCCCTCAGGGACCGACTTACCTTGGCCTAGCTATGTTGCATCACCTGTGTTATATCAACTCCAAACACATGATCCCTTTTGTAAAGAGAATATTACCTGGGAACCCCAGTAACAGGGTTATACTGGTTAAACTACATCCCTGTTTAAAAAAAGTAATATCCACTATATAGATTTTCAAGATTTATTGGGGTAGTTGCAGTTCTTTTGATGAAGCATGGTTCCGTTTTAGAACCTCTTAAATCAATTTCAATGCTTTAGATAATGCTCCCTGCTGGATTTCAAAGACTGAATTCTCTGCCCAAGGCTAAGGCTAGTGTGAGCCAAGGCAGGGATGAAGTAAGACTGAGGCCGTATTCTTTCACTACATTGTCTTGCTCAGTTTTATAAGTGCCTCTCAAGATTTTTTGCTCTCAAATCTATAATACCAGCCTAATCTTTCCCTTGAACTTCAAAATCATACAGCCAAATGTTTGCCTTGTATTTGGAAGCCTCATAAGCATCACAATGGCTTTAATGACATTAAATATTCTTTTTCATAGCTGCATGGTATTCAATTGACAAATGAATAAAGAGTAGTCCACCAAAAAATGTTTATTAGACATTTGTCAAAGCACTTTTTTAAATGTGCTTTGCCATGTGGTTTGCATGCATTATTGAATTGCATCTTCACAACAACTCTGAGGCAGGGATTCTTATATATCCATTTACACGTGAAGAACAGGCTAGCAAAAATTAAACAGCTCAAGCCGCACAAATATTAAGTAGCAAAACAGATTTCATCATATGTGATTTAAGAGCCATCAGACTATTAAAAAGATATTCTGTAATTTATTTAGCATATTTCCATTGTTAGGTACTTAGGTTGTTTCTGATTTTCTTACAATGATAAGTAATGCTGCCCATGTTGAACATCCTTAGAGCCAAATCTGTACACATCCCTGGTCATTTTCTTTAGATAAATTCATAGAAGTGAATTTTCTGCCCCAATTTGTTTTTTCCTCTAATTACAAATCTGATACATGCACCTTCCAGACAGTACTGTGTTTAACATTTCATTCTTTTTTTCAGTCTTTTATGTACATATATATACACCATATGTATATAGCACTATATATACACTTACACAAACACTTAATGCTAGATATACAGTATAGCTATAGAGAAGCATACATTTTACATTTTTGTTATATATTATGAAAATTGTATGGTACCATTGCTACATATATAAACATATACATATGTGTTTTCTTTGCAGGTAATCAATTAATTAATTGTAGAAACCATATTTTGGAGTTTAAGGAAAATTTTCTACGTTTAAAAAACAAAACTGAAAGAAATCGCCAAGAGCTGATGGAAGCCTTGAGTAGAATGAAGTATGACAATAGACAGAGTGTAGATGTACCCGTAAAGTTAGGTTTGTGTTACTTTTGTTTTTGTGCATGGTGGTTTGTCTGTTTTATTTTTTATGTTCTGTACATTTTATGCTTCCTGATTTTAGGACATTTCTCCCCAATAAATGTAATTAAATCAGTTCTTTCTCTTTTATTGTCAGACATGGGAAAGTCAGGTAAGAGATATCACTGCCTCTCACCTGTATCTGGAAGGGGGTCTTTCTGTGTTTTCGATCTCTGTGAATGCACCATGATGCACCCAGTAGACGCAGCCAGAAACCTGAGCATCATCTCTGACTCCTGCCTTTCCCTCCTGCATACTTACTTCCATGTCAGTCAGTGAGCAACCCCATTGATTCATAATCCCACATACCTCACAAATCTGTCCATATTTTTCCATCACCATCTCTACGATCCTAGTCAGGCCACCTTCGTGCTTCATCTAAATGTCTGCTAACATACTCCTATTTTTCTCTGTCTCTCTAGTCTTGTCCCCACCTACCTATCCTCACTGCAGCCAACGTGAAGACTGCACTGTCTTGTATATCAACCTTCAGTGGTTCCCCTTTTCTTCAGGATATAAAGTCCTGCCACATGCCTCCCCCTGTGTAGTCAAATACTCCCCCCTCCCCTCGCCCCGCCCCACTCTTAATGCCTGGAAACCACTGCTCAGTTTTTTGTCCCGGTATTTTTCCATTTTCCCCGAATGCCATGCAAATGGAATCACACAGATAACCCTTTGAGACTGGTTTCTTTCACTTCGTGTAGATTCATCCAAATGTCATGTGACCATTTGTTTGCTGCTTTGTTATTGCTGAGTAGCATTCCATTGTATGGATGCACAATGGATAGTTTGTTTCACCAGCTGAGGGGCATTTGGGTTGGTTTCAGGTTTTGGGTGATTACAAATGCCTATAGCTATAAGCACTCATGTACAGGTGTTTTGTTTGAATTTTCATTTCTTTAGGGTAAATATCTAGAATTTGTGGGCATACGGTAAGTATATGAGTAACTTTGTAAGAAACTGCCAAACTGTTTTCCATTCTGCATTCCCTGCAGCAATTGTATGAGAGTTCCAGTTCCTCCCATTTATTATGGCCATTCTAATGTCATGGCATTTCATAGTTTTAAGTTGCATTTCTGTCTAGTGTGATGATGTTGAACATTTTTATGTGCTTATTTTCCTTCCGTCTTCTTTGTAATATGTCTGATCAAATCTTTTGCACATTAAAAAAATTGGGTGGTTTGTTTTCTTGTTGAGTTTTGAGAGTTTTTAAAAATATATATATTTTTATTGATTTTATAGAGGAAGGGAGAGGGAGAGAGAGATAGAAATATCAATGATGAGAGAGAATCATTGATTGGCTACCTCCTGCACGCCCCCAACTGGGGATCAAGCCTGCAACTTGGGCATGTGCCTTGACCGGAATCAAACCTGGGACCCTTCAGTCTGCAGTCCAACACTCTATCCATTGAGCCAAACCAGCTAGGGCTGAGAGGTTTTTTAAAAAAATATATTTTATTGATTTTTTACAGAGAGGGATAGAGAGTCAGAAACATAGATGAAGAGAAACATTGATGAGCTGCCTCCTGCACACTCCCCACTGGGGGCATGCCTGCAACCAAGGTACATGCCCTTGACAGGAATCGAACCTGGGACCCTTCAGTCTACAGGCTGACGCTCTATCCACCGAGCCAAACTGGTTAGGCGAGAGGTTTTTTTTTAATGTATCTTGGATACATATGAATATGTGATTTAGAAATATTTTCTTTCAGTCTGTGGCTTGGATACATATGAATATGTGATTTAGAAATATTTTCTTTCAGTCTGTGGCTTGTCTTTTTATTCTCCTAATGTGTCCTTCAGAAAGCAACCATTTTCAATTTAGATGAAATCCAATTTGTCAGTTTTTTTATATATTATGCATTTGATGTATCTAAGAACTCTTTAAGAGTCATGGGGATTTTCTTTTATGTTTTTATTTTATAGTTTCAGATTTTACATTTTAGGTCTATAAAACCTTAGAGTTTACTTTTATAAATGGTGTGAAGAATAGGTTAAGGTTCAGTCTTTTTTTTGTGGATGTCCAAGTGTCCTGGCACCATTTGTCAAAAAGGTGCCCATTCTGCATTGAATTGCCTTCATATCTTTAAAAAAGTCAATCTACCATATTTGTGTGGGTCTCTTTCTGGATTCTCTATTGTGTTCCATTGGTATATATATCTATTTTTTTTCTTTTATACCACACTGCCTTGATTTACATATATATTATGAATTAAAATTAGGTAGTGTGAGTCCTCCAGCTTTGTTTTTCTTTTTCAGAATTGTAGAGACAAATTCAAATGAACGGTGTGAATGGATTCATTAAATATTGAGGAGGCTATAAAATAAAATTATAAGGATACAAACTTTAATGATGCAATATTAGTCAAAGTAGCAAAACATATGATATGTGCTTTGGAAATAGTTTCAGTTATACTTCTTTATAGTATGTTTCAGTTATATACTTCCTTCTTTGGAACTGACAGTTCTATGAGCTTGTGGTTGTTGTAGCTCATAGTGATAGACTTAACTTAAATACAGGAAGCCCTCACTTAACATCATCTATAGGTTCTGCAACTGTAAGGTAAATGATATCTAAGGAAACCATGGACTCAGAAGCCCTATTTTTTCTCTTTCAGGTGAGAAGGAAGTGAATACATTGGATAAGAATGAAACAGTGTTTAATACATTTGAAGTCTTAAAGTTCTTTCTCCCTCATCTGAGGAAAGTAGGCAGAATTTATCCTGATGTAATCATCAGCAAAAAGAAAGAAGGCGGTAAGAAAATTAGAACAGGAAAATCAAATACAGATATTCTGATCTTTGGGTACATGCCTTTAAGTTTTAAAATGTAATCCATTAAAATGATGCTCAATTTGATACTTAGATCACCAGCCTATCTGGCATTAATTTGGATAACCAGAAATCAGTATATCGTCTGGCAGAAAAAAATAGGTTAATAAATATTTGGAGACTTGAATTTAAATTCAGCTTTGATACAGATGCTTTGAATATAACTCAAGTAATATGTTAAGTATCTGCTCAGTACCTGGTAACTCTTTTTCTCCCTTGTTTTTGATAAATCTATTCTCATCTATTATCTCCACATTCCCCATCTTTATGGGGACCGAGGTCTGAAAGGCTTTATAGCAGTGACCTGTGAGCTAAACCTTGAAGATTGAGTTCAAGCTCACCAGATACAGAAGAGGAGAAAAGGGACGTTAGACCAACCCTCAGAAACTTGCCTTTCTCACAAACCTCATTCATTCCAATGAGTGTGTCCCTCTGTGCCAGGGGTCAGCAAACCACAGCCCCCAGGCTGACCCTGCCTATTTTAAGAACGGTTTTGCTGGACCATAGGCATGTTCGTTGCTTACATGCTGTCTGCTGCTTTGAGCATAGAACCTTGGTATCTATTTAGGATGGCATGGGTGTGTTCTAACAGTGCTTCAGCCATTATTGGGCAATAAAAGTCACTTAGAGACATGGATTTATCCCATTAAGTCAGTTGGAAATTACCTCATGCACTGTTTTCACAGATGACATTATTTCATAGTATTTTTCCTATTTGGAGTTCTAGTGTCTCCTTAGGAAGAAGAGTAGAGAACCAGCCAATGCCTTTCATACCCAGTTAGATGACACTATAATAAATGGAGAGTGAATAGTTTTCTTTTCCACCATACTGAAATTGTCTTGTCGTCTATTTAACGCATTTCCTAACCATCCGCTACAAATTGGAATTTCCTTAACACATTAAGTGCCCAGTCAGTCACCGGTGACTGACACTATACTTTCCATCCAGAAGACAAAACAGGCTGGGCACTTAACGTGTTAAGCAGAAAATGAAATCCTATATAATAAAAGCCTAATATGCTAAGTGTCCAGTCATCCGGTCATCTGTTCAACCAAAGTGTAATATGCTAATGACATGCTAAGGCCACTCAACTGCTCGCTATGACGTGCACTGACCACCAGGGGGCAGACAGTCAACTGGTCGACCAGTTGCTATGATATGCATTGACACCAGGGGGCAGAAGCTCCGACCAGTAGGTTAGCTTGCTGCTGGGGTCCAGCCAATTGGGACTGAGTGAAATGGGCCAGACACGCCCTGAGCCCTCCCGTGGCCCCTCCCCGGCTGGCTAACCTCCTGTGTCCCTCCCAGGCTCTGATCATGCACCGGTGGGATCCCTTGGCCTGGCCTGCACCCCCTTGCAATCCAGGACCTTTGGGGGGGATGTCAGAGAGCCGGTTTCAGTCTGATCCCACAGGACAGGTTGAGGGGCCCCACTGGTGCACGAATTTGTGCACCAGGCCTCTAGTATAATATAAAAACTAACAGCTTTTGGTTGGGATTACTTCTGTAATACAATTTCAAGCACTATTTTTATGACCACACAACCCAAATGTAGAAGTAAGCATAGATATTAATGCTAAATTATATTTTTCTCTGTGGTTTGAAATGGTGATGCCATCCTCGGGTGTCTGCAGTGTCTTTTGCACTGGGCATTTCCACTGTTAAAAGACGAAATCATAGTTACCTGAAGCAAACGCTGACCTCGCTTGTTTCCAGGATGACGCTTTCGGAGGAGAAGAACTCGGTAGTGATCGTCTCTATTGCAGATGTACGTATGAAGGCCAACCAGCTCTCCTTGCCCCCAGCCCACAGTCTCCATGCTAATCACTGTATCATTTCAAATTTTCCCCTCAAATTTCAAAAAGCAATTCACAGATGCCTTTTTTAGATAGCAGACAATGTATTTGATACTTTTTTTTGACACCACCAAGAAAGATATATGTCAATCTAAAAAGCTTATTTAAATATCACATTTCCATGTGGAGGAATAAGATTATATTATTAAATATGTAACTAGGCCTGGCCAGCATAGCTCAGTGATTGAGCATCGACCTATGAACCAGGAGGTCATGGTTTGATTCCCAGTCAGGGCACATGCCTAGGATGTGGGCTTGATCCCCAGTGTGGGGTGTGCAGGAGACAACCAATCAATGATTCTCTCTCTTGATGTTTCATCTCTCTTTCCCTCCCCCCTCTCCCTTCCTCTCTGAAATCAATAAAAATACATTTTAAAAAATGTAACTAGGGGCCTTACATACTCTATGGTACAGAATTGTATTTACAAACAGAACATTAAAATTGATGCTATAGTAATAAAACCAGCCCAGTAAAAGTTTGGTATAGGAATCAAGAGATAATTTATATTAAATAATAACTACCACTAATTGGGGGACTCCTTCCTACATATGAAGGATTGTAGACAATTTTTATATAACATTATTTATAACCTGCTTTACATCTCTGTAAAGGAGGTAGTACTATCCTGATTGTACAGAGTTTATGAAAGTAATTTGCCTCGTTATTAATAGAGCAGATTCATCTCTCTAATGGCCCCAAAGTTTTCTCTCTTGTAGAGCTATATGAGTACTGTATAAATGTTAACACGATAAGGCCTTTGGGAGGGGAATTTGGCAACATGTATCAGATTTAAAATGTGTATACCCTTTGTCTCAGAAATCTCAGTTCTGGGAAGTTATCCTAAGGAGATAACCGGGCAAAAATTTCAAAATGATAAAATATGACACACACAGTACCGTAGTTGAGAACACAGACTCTGGATCTAGATTGCCAGCTTCAAATGCCAGCTTCTCCACTTCCTGGCTGGTGAACTTGAACTAGTTACTTCTCTGTGCTTCACTTTTCTTATCTGTAAAATAGTGATGATAATATTACCTTAGTCACACATAATTGTTTTGGCAATTAAATTAGCTAAAATATTTAAAGTATTTCAAATGCTGTGTGGCATGTAGTAAGTGTTCAATAAGTAATTATTTCAAGGATTTTTAGTGCAAAAACACCAAAATATTGAAAACAATCAAAATGTCAATAAGCGACTGATTGAATATTCATGTCTACACTGCAGTGATTTGTAGCCATTGAAAGAATGAATATCATATTCACTGACATAAAACCATGTCTAAATCATATTGTTGACTAAAAGAAGTTGTAAAGCATCCTGTTTAGCATACTGTCTGTGCAAAATGTGACAGAAAGAAGGAAGATAATACAGATTGATGAAATGTATAAAGAAAAAAAGAATGAGCAAATCTTAGAATGCTATAAATAATGGTTTACATTTAAAGATTAGTAGTGGTATACAAAAACTATATATAAATATCAGTTTATATTTACATATAAGTATAAAATATAATAATGGTTATCTCTGGATGTTGGGAGTTGTCCTTTATTCTTTTCTCTATTATTTGCATTTTCTATAATAAATGTGTCTTCGAAGGCAGAAAAACTCTAAACAAAACAAGCAACAGAAGAACTATTGGGAAAATATAAATAAAAGATTAAATAATCTTTCTCTCCAAATTTAATTTAATATTGGAAGCATATACTTAATCTCTGAAGTGTTTTGTCACTTTTTTTGTGTTACATATTACAAGCTTTGTTCATTTGCTGCTGACACAATGTACATCTGCCTAAAATATATTGACCAATAAAATATGGGGGACAAATTTTAAAATAGAATATATAATGCTTAAAAAGTACAACTTTAGCACTACGTTTAAAGTAGAATATGTTTCAGCGTGTAACAATAACTAGAGATTCAATTTATGGCTGTCTTAAGAAGCTTAAGTACTATAATAGAGTTTTTTGCATCATGACACATATTTTTAACAAACAACCTAACTATATACATTCAGAATTGCCTTTTAGAGAATTCAGATTTGACAATAGAATGGTCATTATTCAAAATATTTTCAGAATTTTATATTAGGAATGTTTGTAGGCCCTGCGGCTACATCTTGTAAATGCCATTGGTTATATATATAAAAAAATCATCTGAGGGAATAAACCACCAAAAGCTATTTACAAATGAGTCTGTCATCTAATCTAAGCACAATACTCAATAAAGAGTAGGTACACAAAGTTTGTCAATGGAAGAAAATTTGAGAGTTATGCTGAATAATACTGTCTGGAAAAAAGTGAAATAATTTCAAAGTAAGCTTACTGTCATATAATACTCATGAAATGAAGATATCTTCAAAAAAGAGCAATTCTTTGAAATAAGCCATCTGACATTTAGGGCAAAACTGTCTTAGATGCATAACTTTTGTATACCACAAATATTTAAGTGTAAATAACATGTAGTGATATTTCATATTGTGACAAAAGGAGAATGACATATTTTCATATTCAAGTCAGATCTTTTAGTCATATGGATATTTTAAATTCTTTTATAGAAAGTGGAAACACTAGAAATGATTAGGAAATAATGACATTCCACACATAAACTAGGTTTACATGTAGCAAACATGTATTAATAGAAGTATGGGGCATGCTTAGTTTCATTAAAATATTTTTCTCATTTTTAGAGTAATGAAGAGTATTCAAAATCTGTTGTTGACATGATTACGAAAAAGTAAGTACTGTTGGATAAATTTTTAACTGGCTGTTCTTTCATTTTCTATTCTGTTTTTTCTGTCCAATCATTTTATTAGTGATCATATTCATTTTAATATGTATCTGTGCCCTATATTTCTATCTCAGGTGTGATGAAGTATAGCTTATCAATTGTGTAGGTTATTTACCTATTAAATTCCATGTTTTTCATGTTATTGTTATAATAATATCTATTCTCCATGAAATCCATTGTCTCTGTGAGAAGCCTACTGGTTTAATTTTAAAACATCCTTGCGTTTTTTTACTGTATGAAGCTACTTTCACTGCTCCTGCTTACAGCCTCCTGCTGTATGCAGCCCAGGAGATGAAAACACTGATGAACAAATATGAAACTATCAAGCAAGATGTGGTAGAATGGACCCAGCCTTCCAAATCTCTATGTTCCAGTGGGCGATAAAAATGGCAAAAACCAAATCACAGAGGCTACTGTTATTGCGGTGGTTGTGGAGGGCAATATGCAAACATATAGAGTAAAGTGTATTTTATGTTACCTGAAAATATCAAGAACCACTTTCTTGAGAAGGTAACAATTGAGCTAAGTCTAAGGGTGTAAGTAGATATTCTTCAGGCAGGCAAAGGGAGGAAGGGAATGCCTGGCAAATAGAATTGCCTGGGACGCAGAAAGGCCCAAAAGGGAGCATGTAGATTTTTGGAAATATAAATACATCCTGGAAAGTGCATTTTGTGTATTTTTAAAAAAATATATTTTATTGATTTTTTTCAGAGAGGAAGGGAGAGGGATAGAGAGTTAGAAACATCGATGAGAGAGAAACATCGACCAGCTGCCTCCTGCACACCCCTGACTGGGGATGTGCCCGCAACCAAGGTACATGCCCTTGACTGGAATCGAACCCGGGACCCTTCAGTCCGCAGGCCCTATCCACTGAGCCAAACTGATCAGGGCCATTTTGTGTATTTTAATTTTTGATATGTTTCTCTCTAATTTACAAGAGAAATACTTTGGCTAAAGAGTATTAGTTTTATGATATTGATATGTATCAACCTGTGAAATCATTCAAATAAAAATATTATGTGGCCATGTATAAGGAAATTCCTTGTAAGTATTTGTTATTTTGATATATCAAATATTCAATTACAAACCTCCATGTACTTCTATTGATAGATTCAAAAGGCAAGTGAAGTCTGGATCCTTAGAGGTGATTTCAATACCTGCCTTTTTTTATCCAGACACGTTACATGCCATGCAATCAGCTGAGGACTCACAAAAACTAGAGAGGTATGAAATTTAGAAAATTGTAGCCTTAAAAAACTAACTTCATTTGATGAAATGTTGGAATCAGCATCTAATAGATCCTATTTCAAACACAGCCAGCTCCTATTGACTTGCAAGAGCTATGTGGTTCACTTCCCAACTCTGTATTCAGTGACATCAGTTGGTAACATGAAATCAGGAGCATTTACACCACAGAAATGGGCAAAAGCTACAAATCAGGGCTGACCCCTGTCCCACACAGAGAGACAGTTGTTAAACACCACCAGCACACCACTGATACTCTATATTCAGTAATTAGCAAAAGCATAATGAAGGGGAAAAAAGCTTAGGGTTATAAATCATTACACCTGGATTCTAGATCATCCTAGGCTGGTAATTTTTCTTAGCTTCCTCAACTTTCTAGTGTGTATAATAAAATCTGCATTACCTATTCAGAAAAATCATTGTTAATTATGATAGGATTTATGCAAGAATTTTGAAAAATTATATATATATATATATATATATATATATATATATATATATATATATGAAGGTATATTATTGTTTGGTTGTAAATGTGGTAGCTATTACAAGAAATATAATAATTGGGTTCCTCAAAACTTAGTAGAGCGAAAAACATGTCAGAATTCAGAAAGAGGTCTTATCCCAATAAACTCATTAGCTCTGCTTTGTTTTAAAATAATAAATGGCATGTCAAAATCTAGAAATATTTTAAGGGTTTTGTTTTGCTTTTTTCTAATTTTATTTTATTTTTCAATTCTTTATTGTTTAAAGTATTACATATGTCTCCTTTTTCCCCCATTGACCTCTCCCAGGTCATTCTTACTCCCCCAGCACATGCCCTCACCCCCCTACTGTCTGTGTCCATGGGTTATGCTTATATGCATGCATACCAGTCCTTTGGTTGATCTCTCACCCCCCGCCCCCCATCCCTCTCCCCACCTTCCCTCTGAGGTTGGGTGGTCTGTTTAGCGCTTCCATGTCTCTGGACCTATTTTAGTTAATCAGTTTATGTTGTTCATTATATTCCACAAATGAGTGAGATCATGTGATATTTATCTTTCTCCAACTGGCTTATTATTTCGATTAGCATAATGCTCTCCAGATTCATCCATGCTGTTGCAAATGGTAAGAGTTCCTTCTTTTTTACAGCAGCATAGTATTTCATTGTGTAGATGTACCACAGTTTTTAATCCACTCATCTGCTGATGGGAACTTAGGTTGTTGTTTTGCTTTTTAATTAATGGCCCACAGTATGCCCAGTTTTTAGAGTCATCATGCTGGGAGTCACTCTAAATCCTTCTGCCCTTTATGTCTCTATCATCATTTCTCTTTTTTAATTTCTTTCCACATCATTCCTCTCATCCCCATTTCTCTGCCTTGGACTTAGTTCATGCCATTCCAGATCTATTTGCTTTCCCTTACCCCAGCCTAGCCTAGCCTTTCCTCCAGTTCATTTTCTGCACTGTAGGCGGAAGAATCTTTTCATATGAGATCAAGTACAAAGTTTCCTGCATGTCATGAAAGATCCTTCATGATTTGACCTCTGCCAACCTTCCCATCATTAGTTTCTCTCCATCAGCTCTCTGTGCCCTAAATCTAAGGGGCTGTTGTTTCACACATCCCGTGGCTTTGAATACTGTTCTCTACACTGAGCGCCCTGCAACCTTCTGCTTGACCCTCCCCATCTTATTGTAAATCATCATGGTCAGCATCCCTATATAGCTCTTATATAATTGTTCTAATTGTATTCTTTTTCTATATTTCTTGCTAGATTATGGGACCTAGAAGGGCAAGAACTGCATTGTGTATTGCTCTTTGTACCTTCGAGATCTGGCTTAGTATCCAAGCTTAGTATTACATTAGAATAAAGTTTCTTTATACTTTCATTTGAGCAAGACCTAAGAAAGAATATTAACTTTATTATAATAGATCAAAATTTAACAAACCTAAATGTAAAATAAATAGATTATGCTTATCCTAGTTTAGCAATGGTAGACACTACCCACTGAATAAAAATGGGAAACTTTTTTTTATTTTATTTTAAAAATATATTTTATTGATTTTTTACAGAGAGGAAGGGAGAGGCATAGAGAGTTAGAAACATCGATGAGAGAGAAACATCGATCAGCTGCCTCCTGCACACTCCCCACTGGGGATGTGCCCGCAACCCAGGTACATGCCCTTGACCGGAATCGAACCTGGGACCTTTCAGTCTGCAGGCCGGCGCTCTATCCACTGAGCCAAACCGGTTTCGGCAAAAATGGGAAACTTTTGAGTATAACTTTTTAGCATAACATCTTCAATTTTATTCCATACAGTTAGTGCTCTATATTAGCAAAGTGAAGTTTATGTTTTTAATTTCTAAAGTGTGTCTATAAGCAAAAATTAAATAATGATAAATATTAACAGATTTTATTACTTATCTTTAGTTGGCGAATCAAACAAGTTTTGGATTTTTGTTTTTTGATGCTGTATGCCCAACCTAAGGCCATGTATTATCTACAGGTATGACCTTGGTATAAATATAAAGTGGAAGTTCTCCCTCTCTCTTTTGATTCCTTCCTTCTTCATTGTATTCCTCCACCTTCCTTTATACTCAGAAAATAGAAAATACTTACTATATTAAAATACCATAAGGAAGCTTAAAATTGATTCTATATTAGTCTTCTTTCTGAGGTCACTATTAACAGAGGAAAATATAGTTACCTGAAGCAAAATGAAAATAATTTAGAAAAAAAAGACATTGTACTGCCTACATTTGTCTGCCTACAAGTTTATTGGATTAAATAAACATAATTTGAGTACTTATTATATGTTGGACATTGTATATGCTTATCCCTGCTACCCTACATAGATTCAGATTTTATGGGTAATACTAGAGGCCCAGTGCACGGATTCGTGCACTGGTGGGGTCCCTCGGCCTGGCCTGTGGGGATCAGCCAAAACCGGCTCTCCAACATCCCCCGAGGGGTCCTGGATTGTGAGAGGGCTCAGGCCAGGCCAAGGGACACCACTGGTGCATGACTGGGGCTGGGAAGGGACCACGGAGGGCTCAAGGGTGTGTCCAGCCCGTCTCACCCAGTCCTGATTGGCTGGACCCCAGCAGCAAGCTAACCTACTGGTTGGAGCATCTGCCCCCTGGTGGTCAGTGCATGTCATAGTGACTGGTCGAACGGTTGAATGGTCGGACACTTAACATATTGGGCTTTTATTATATAGGATAGTTATATAGTGCCTATGCTGTATTTATGAAATAAATCAATTACCTATAGTTTGTACTCCCTGAGTTCCTGCATATTGTTAAATAGTAATGTTATGTTTCCTTCCAGTAAGTGTATCCTCACTACATGAGACACTGTGCAGCTGTGAGAAGAGTTTGAAGAATGTCATTAAAGAACAGAGTTAGAAAAAGGCCTGAAGAAAGGTCTTCTCTTTTATTGGAAGAAAATAAAAAATCCCTTTTGATTTCTAGTTAGTAATAAGGAAATTGAAACATGACATCCAGCCAGTGTACCCTTAGGAACAACACAACTCTACTTTGTGCTCTGGTAATGTGCCCGAGGACTTCCACATTCTTCTACTGAGTCATTGAGGAGGCCCTCTGAGTCTGGAGATTATGCATAATGTGTATTAATATTTAAAAGAGCCTGGGGTTTACTGTCACTCCTCCAAAGAAAATTTAGAGTGAATGAATGTTACATGTTAGCATTCAGGAAAGAAAGAGATAATCCCCGGTCTTAGAATCAGAAAATGAAAATTGACTAACAGTACTAGTAAATATCCTCAGTGAACTGAACTATAAATAAAATTATTACCTCATAAAAACATTTTCAGTGTAGTCTATTGAAAGTATTTTCAATTTTCAAGCTAATATAAATTATTCAATGGAAGCACCAAAGGTACTAATGCCTCTTTGGTGTTGTTTTTTTTTCCAGCTAGAAGATGACATCATAGCTAAAAAGATGTACTTTACAAAAATCATAGATTTCGTACATAGTATCACTTCAAATAATTGGTTTTATATTGAGTTTTCAGTTCTTGGATTTATAGGTAAGCAATGGGTCAATTTTGTGGGGTCCAGATTTTTGGCATGATAACCTTAATAGTTCTTAAGAACTTATCAAAAAGTTTGTTACTAAATGAAAAGGAATGACATGATTTCTACAAAAATACAACTACTTTACTAGTAAAATCATATTCAAGGATCTGAATTTCAGAAAATGTATTTTTAAACCAATTTTTTTTCTGGATGGACAATGTAAATAGGCTGATTGACATATATGCATATGCGTTACAAAAATGTTAAGATAGCACCCCTTGTTAAATGCTTGCTGTGAGTCTGGCACCCAGGTTAGCTCAGTGACTAAGATGAACTTCTCTCGATTTTACATAGAAAAATACATGCAAAAAGCATTGTACTGCGAAGTTCCTGTAATTCCCATGTTCCAAAACTGACGTACTATAAAAAATATAATAGTATATGAGTTATATCCACCAAGGAAAGTTCCTAAAATTGTGCTCATGATGAGATTTTTCACTTTCACAATTTTCTGTGGATTTTCCTTTTCCTTTCTTTCCTCCCTTCCATTCTTTTTTTTAAAATTGCTCTGATGGCAGCAGGTTGAAGTACCATGCTCTCTTTTAGTGCGTGTTTTCATTGCTCAGGCAGGGGCCCTCTCTTATTGTATTCTTTTGTTCTATGCCCAATTCCTACTCCCACTTCCTCCCACCCCTCCAATAGATTTTCACTCTAATATGTGCAAAATATCATATAAGCATACATATATCCATGTACAATATTTGGTGCTGATCATGTTTGTACCTATTTAAAATTGACATAGGTGGTGAAGTGATAAACCTCTCCCTGTTCCTTACATTTTTGTCCTCAAAACTAGATGTTAAAACTGTCAGCATGTTGCTTTGTGTTTCAGTGGTTCTCAACCTTCCTAATGCCGCGACCCTTTAATACAGTTCCTCATGTTGTGGTGACCCCCAACCATAAAATTATTTTTGTGCTACTTCATAACTGTAATTTTGCTACTATTATGAATCGTAATGTAAATATTTGATATGCAGGATGTATTTTCAGGGGTCGCGACCCACAGGTTGAGAACCGCTGGTTAGTTCATTGCTTCTTACTGCTGCGTAAGTGCTACCTAACAATCCATTTGGCTCATCCACTCCCGGAGTGGTGGACCTTGATGGCCTGCAACTCTGCCACCACAAAGAAATGAAGTGCCATGTATGTTCCCTGGAGCAGGATCACGGAGGGCAAATTAGCTGGGTCTCTAAGTACTGCCAGGTTGCCTCGCACATGGGCTGAACAGTGTATATGCCCATTAGCAGTGCATGTGGGCGCCTGCTTCCCCATATGCTTGGCAACATTTGATTTTACCCAGCAAACAATTTTTTTTGATGTTGAGCAGAGTATAAAGCATTTCTTGGGTTGTTAGTAAAATCCATCTGTTCTTCATAAACTTACTTGACCACTTTCTTTCCCAAAGTTTCTATAAAGTGGTATGGAATCCAATCTTAAGGCCCTGAAGGTTTTTGCTCAGCTTTGGTTAAAATAAGAAGGAAATTAGGTAACAGTAATACCTGATGAGAAGCTTGCAGAGAAAATAATTTTGTTGACATATTATTCTGAGAATTTTAAATTTTCTTTTATCTTTCTCAGCAAAGTCAGGTATGAGAAGAATAGAGAATATTCACTTTCTGACTACCACAAGAGAACATTGAGCAAGGAGCTTGCTGTCTGTGATGCTGAAGTCTTCTTTAAGATTAACTTTACAAAGGCTTTTTAAAGTCATAACAGTTCTTTAGCCAATATTTACCAAAAATATGAGCTTGCTACATAGGATTTTACAATATGCTAACAAAGATAAGGAAAACAGAGATATTAAATCAACTATTTCCATCAGTAAATCACTTGCTTTGGTTCCTTTTTCTCCACAGGAAAGCTATTTAAATCTGAGGACTTAACTGACTTCATACAGTTTTTTTTAATGTTCTACAAAGATAAACCCATAGACTGGCTGTTGGCGGACATTTTTCAGGTGAAGATGTGTACCCCAGGAGAAACTCCTGTGAGTATGTTTTTACTTTGTAAATACCAAATATTTTAGAAGAATACTATCTGTCTAATATAATTACCTAAAATTTGTTTACCAAACCAAAGCTGATGAGTGCATCAGTTTTTTAACTTCCAATATTCTAAATTTATATTGACACTTCTACTGAGAGGTCAAAGAGCAGTGAGAAGTGCAAACAATGGGACAAAAAAAGCGAAGAAACAGAAAAAAGGCAATAAAATGGTAGGCCTAAATCCAAACATGTCAGTATTTACTCCAAACATAAACAGCCAAGATGTACCAACTAAGAGTTTATCAGAATAGATTAAAAAAACACTATGCAATTAATTGCTGTCTGTGCTCAATTTAGATATGCTATAGACAGGTTAAAAGTAAAAGATGGAAAAAGAGCCCTAGTCAGTTTGGATCAGTGGAAAGAGAATCGGCCTGCGGACTTAAGGGTCCTGGGTTTGATTCTGGTCAAGGACCCATGCCCGGGTTGCAGGCTTGATCCCCAGTAGAGGGTGTGCAGGAGGCAGCTGATCAATGATTCTCTCTCATCATTGATGTTTCTCTCTCTCCCCTCCCTTACTCTCTGAAATCAATAAAAACATATTTTTAATAAAAGAGTATGTGAGTTTTAAGCAAAGATTATTGTTTCTCTTTTTCCCCAGGAGAAATGTGTAGAACGAAATAAGCAAATTCGTATTCGATATAAACCTTCCCTTTTCCAGCATGTGGGCATACAGTCATCACGTCTTGGAACTGAACAATATTTAAAAGTAAGATTTTGAAATGGTAATTGAAAAAGAAATAATGTTTCATGAACTTATAAACTATTATTTAGGAAAGAAGTGATCAGAACATGAGAGAGACTGTAAAATATGGTTGTTTAGATACAATTCATCTTATGCCAGACTGTATATTGTGAAGACCAATCATCTTTTTTTAAAAAAATATTTTTTAAATTAATTTCAGAGAGGATGGAAGAGGGAGAGAGAGATAGAAACATCAGTGATGAGAGAGAATCATTGATTGGCTGCCTCCTGCATGCTCCCCACTGGGGATCCAGCCCGCAACCTGGGCATGTGCCCTTGACTGGAATCGAACCTGGGACCCTTTGGTCCGCAGGTTGACGCTCTACCCACTGAGCCAAACCGGCTAGGGCACCAATCATCTTTTCAAGACCCAAGTTATCTATCATGGTTGGAAAATTCAGCCTATGTAAACTTCTTTGCCTCACTGTTTGCAGCTGTGCAATTCAAAGAGTAAGACTAAAAAAAGTGTTTTGAAAATCATAATAAAGTTAATTATTTTATTATTTTTAATGAAATAACATTAAAAATTATATAAGAATATTTCAAAATAAAATGCTTCTGCTATTGAATTCAAATGTATTTTCATTCTTATTTCAGGCCACTATTTACCAGATGAGCAAAAGTTCAGCAGTTTGGTTTTTAGTCATTTTTAAATTTTCCTTCATTTTTGGAAACAATTTATAATTGACTTCAGCATCTTGGTGAGGTAGAAGAAGCAAAGACTTTAGAGTCAAAACACTGCATTTTAAGTTATGGGATATATATGTATGGTATTTAGGGCAAGACTACCGCTCTTCTGAGCTCTCTTCATCTATAAACAAGGAGTTTAAATGAGATGATCCTTCAGATTTCTTCTATCTTTGAAATACTAGTGACACGTCTGCACACAACAAAGCGAATGATTGCTTTAATCCTTAGTTGAATTGAGAGAAAGGCACATCTGTATCCTCCCATCATTTCATCCATTATTTATGACCTTCTTTCCACCTTCTCTTTCTTTGTGTATTTATTATATGGTGCTTGGGACAGTGCCTGGAACATAGTGTAAACTCAGTAAATATTAGCTATTAGCTATCAGGCAAGGTGGAATTCAAGATAAAAAGTGTTGGTTAAACAAGACAACAAGTGTCTGGAATAATGAAAATTTAACTGTTAGGAATCTTTATGTAAAAAGTAATACCATCAAAATATATGAAACATAGCCATAGATGATGCAGAAAGAAATTAGTCTACACCATTCTATTTGTTGGTGCTATTATAATGGGATATTTTTCTTCCATATATATATATATATTAGAGGTTCAATGCATGAAATTTGTGCAAGGGGCTCAGCCCTCGCAGCCCCGCCTGCCTGGGCCCTCGCAGCCCAGGCTTTGTCTGGAAGGTCGTCTGGATGCTTGTTCTGCTGTTTGGTCTAATTAGCATATTAGCTCTTTATTATATAGGATTTTTCTTGCTGAGTAAGATATTTTAATCTTACCTTTGTAAATTCACAACAGATTCAGTAGAATGTACATCTAATCACTAATTTTTTGATGTTATAATCTTAGTTTTTTTCTTTTTTTATATTTCATACCACCTAAAATAAATAGGAATATATAACAGCCTAATGCTCTATCAAAGTGATTATATTTAAATTATTTTTTAATTTCTAACAGGATATCTACTATTAGGAGTTACATAATTCGAACACCTTTTATAATGATCAGAATTCTTTGGAAAAAAATGGCATAACAAGGATTAGACTATTTCCCAACCTACTTCATAGTGGATAAGCGACTATGTCATATTTTTAAAAAGTTAAACCTTTAATTATAAACTGGTAAGTATAAAAATGATATACTGTATAAACATATATAGAATATTATCAGATGTTAATCTTATTTTATATCCTTTGTGTATTAAAGTTTTGTACATACAACTTTTTAAAAAATATTTTTAAATTTATTTCAGAGAGGAAGGGAGAGGGAGAGAGAGAGAGAGAGAGACATCAATGATGAGAGAGAATCATCCATTGATTGCCTCCTGCATGCTCCCCTCCCCCCACTGGAAATCAAGCCTGCAACTTGGGCATGGGCCCTGACCAGGAATCAAACCACATGTGACTTGGCTGTGCATATAATTTTCTGATACACTCCATAATATTCTATTTTAGAAGAATCAATCAGTATTTCCTTTCCCCCCTTTTGTTTATCATGTACTGTAGATGTAGATGTACAGTGAATTTGGAGACAATAGATCTGAGTTTAAGGCCTTATTTGTATCAATAGATATAACAATATCGATGAATCTCTGACACATTATACTAAGTGAAAAAAGCCAGTTGCAAAAGACTTTCAATTGTATGATTCTATTTGTATAAAATTCTAGGTAAAGCAGGTCCTGATGTCTCATTATGATTGTAATTTGCATTTCTTTAATGACCAGTGATGTTGAACAACATCTCATGGAGCTTGTTATAAATATACACATATGTGTATATGTAAATATAATAATGAAATATACATTTTTTAAAAAATATATTTTATTGATTTTTTACAGAGAGGAAGGGAGAGAGATAGAGAGTTAGAAACATGGATGAGAGAGAAACATCAATCAGCTGCCTCCTGCACATCTCCTACTGGGGATGTGCCCGCAACCCAGGTACATGCCCTTGACCGGAATCGAACCTGGGACCCTTGAGTCCGCAGGCCGACGCTCTATCCACTGAGCCAAACCGGTTTCGGCGAAATATACATTTTAATGAGATATATATTTGTGAAATGTCTATTCAGATATTTTCCCATTTAAAAAATTGGGTTATTTGCCTTTTTAATTTTGAATTGTAATATTCCTATTTTGGCATAGTCTGACCACATGTCTTAGCTATGGCTTGCCCTTTCATTTTCTTAATAGTGTTTGCTTGTTTATTTTTATCTTTCTCTGTCACATGCTTTCTCAAATATTTAGTGATTCATGGTTGTCTGTTGAATTTGAATGAGCTTATAGAAAACTAGAGGCCCAGTGCATGAAATTCATGCACAGAGGTGGGGGGGGGGGTCCCTCAGCTCAGCCTGCACCCTCTCGCAATCCAGGACCGCTGGCTCCTAACTGCTCACCTGCCTGCCTGCCTGATTGCCCCTAACTGCCTCTGCCTGCCTGCCTGATTGCCCCTAACCACTCTGTCTGCCTGCCTGATCACCCCTAACCGCTCTGCCTGCCTGATTGCCCCTAACCACTCGCTTGCCTGCCTGATTGCCTCTAACCACTCTGCCTGCCTGCCTGATCGCCCCTAACTGCTCACCTGCCTACCTGATTGCCCCTAATCGCCTCTGCCTCGGCCCCCACCACCACAGCTTTGTCAGGAAGGATGTCTGGAAGGTTGTTCAGCTGTCTGGTCTAATTAGCATATTATGCTTTTATTATTATAGACTAGAGGCCCGGTGCACAAAAATTTGTGCACTCGGGGGGGAGGAGGGGGTCCCTCAGCCCGGCCTGTGCCCTCTCGCAGTCTGGGACCCCTCGGGAGATAACAACCTGCTGGCTTAGGCCTGCTCCCGGGTGGCAGAGGGCAGGCCCAATCCCTAGGTGCAGCCCCTGGTCGGGCTCAGAGCAGGGCCGATTGGGGAGTTGGGGCACCGCCCCCTGTCATGCACAGAGCAGGGCGGATCGGGAGGTTGCGATGCCACCCCTAGTCACGCTCAGGGTAGGGCCGATTGGGGGGTTGGGGCACCGCCCCCTGTCACACTCAAGGCAGGGTCAATGGGGAGGTTGCGACACCACCCCCTGTCACGCACAGAGCAGGGCCGATCAGGGAGTTGGGGCTCCGTACCCTGTCACGCACAGAGCAGGGTTGATCAGGGGGTTGGGGAGCTCCCCCCTGTCACGCACAGAGCAGGGCAGATCGGGGGTTGGGGCGCCGCACCCTGTCATACTCAGGGCAGGGCCAATGGGGAGGTTATGGCTCTACCCCGTCACACACAGAGCAGGGCCGATCAGGGGTTTGGGGCACTACCACTGTCACACTCAGGGCAGGGCCGATGGGGAGGTTATGGCTCTACCCCATCACACACAGAGCAGGGCCCATGGGGGGGGTTGAGGCACCACACCCTGTCACTCACAGAGCAGGGCGATCAGGGGGTTGGGGAGCTCCCCCCTATCAGGCACAGAGCAGGGCTGATCAGGGGGTTGGGGCGCCTTCCCCTGTCAGGAACAGAGCAGGGCGGATAGGGAGGTTGTGGCCCCTCCCCCTATCACACACAGAGCCACAGGGCGATCAGGGGGTTTGGGCGCTGCCCCCTGTCATACTGATTCCGGTGCCGGGAGCCTTCGCGGCTCCGCTGATCCTGGTGCTGGGAGGCATATTACCCTTTTACTATTTAGGATAGAGGCCTGGTGTACAGGTGGAGGCTGGCTGGTTTGCCCTGGAGGGTGTCCTGGATCAGGGTGGGGGTCCCGCTTGGGTGCCTGGCCAGCCTGGGTGAGGGGCTGATGGCTGTTTGCAGCTGGTCACACCCCCTTCAGGGTGGGGGTCCCCCACTGGGGTGCCTGGCCAGTCTGGGTGAGGGGCTGAGGGCTGTTTTCAGGCTGGCGGGTGACTGAAGCTCCCAACCGCTCCTTTTTTTCTTTTTTTTTTTTTATTCTGGGCCAGCTTTAGCTCTGAAGCTTGGCTCCAGCTCTGAGGCCTCAGCTGCTGAAAGCAGGTATCTGGTTTGTTTGGGTTCTATAATTGAAACACTGTTTCATCTCCAGCTCTGAGATCCCGGCTGGCTGAAAGCAGGTTTCTGGGGTTTTGTTTAGCTTCTATATTTGTAACAATGTTTCAAATTGCAAGCTCAGAGGCCAGCAGCAGCAGGCGGGGAACGTTGGCTTCCTCTGTCACTGGAGCAAGCAAGCCTCCTGTTAGCTTCAAGCTGCCTGGCTGCCGGCCGCCATCTTGGCTGGCAGTTAATTTGCATATCGCCCTGATTAGCCAATGGGAAGGGTAGTGGAGGTACGGCTAATTACCATGTTTCTCTTTTATTAGATAGGCTGTTAATATTGGTCAGTATGGGTAAATTTTCCCCCCTCCCCCTGTCCCCCACACTACACCTATCCTCATATTTATTTATTAAAATGTAAGAATGAAGGAGGCTTCCTAGGAAGTTTTGGCATATAGGTAGAATTTGTTGGTTTGCAAACTATATTAGTGTATTTGAGTGGCTAGGTTTCTATTGTTTTGTGGTGTGTGTGTGTGTGTGTGTGTTTTTTCCTAGTCATTTGCACCAGCGTGCCAGGATACAGGGTGCTTTGTTCTGGGCACAGGTGCCTGCTCTGGTTATATCAGGCTGCTCATTCACTTTGGTTAGTGAAGACTGGGTGTGTGTGCATTGCCTGAGCCATAAAGTCCGGCTGCTCAGGTTTGGGCGATAAATGCTCCTGACACAGACTCTCATTTCATTCTCACGGTTCACCCAAGTTTAGCTCCCATCTTCCACCAAATCTGCCATCTCCGCTGTCGCCCCCATCCATGTGTCTAGGCACAGATTCCTCATCCCCTCTTTGCCAGTCCGTACTCTCCCATTACATTTATATCTCTCATCAATTTGATGAAAGGTCTCCTAGGCTAAGAGCCTCCCTGCATCCTTGACACTTTGGAGTTTCACCTTTTTTGTGTATTTACAGTGGGGCCTTGACTTATGAGTTTAATTCGTTCCGTGACGGAGCTCGTAACTCAAATTACTCGTATGTCAAATCAAAAGTGAACGAGTGAGACACGTGATGCTGGGCTGATGTTGTGGCGTTCACTGTGACGTTCGCTGCGCCAACTAGCGGTGGGGTATCTGAAGCTGGCTTGTAACCCGAATTTCAGCTCGCAACTCAAAGCAAAAAATCGGCCGAGAGACGGCTCGTATCTCAAAAAAACTCGTTAGTCGGGACACTCGTAAGTCAAGGCCCCACTGTACTGTCATTTCTTTGAGGTCTAGCCATCCACCATCTTGAACCAAGTGTTTTGATATTTCATTTCAGTTTTTTAAAACTTTTCTTTTTCTAATCCTCACCTGAAGATATGCTCATTGATTTTAGAGAGAGAGGAAGGGGCCGAGAGACAGAAACATCGATGTGAGAGAGAAACTTTGATCAGTTGCCTCCTGTACATGCCCCAACCAGGAAGGGGAGATCGAACCCACAACCTAGGTACGTGCCCTGACCAGAAATCAAACCTGAAACCTTTTGGTACACGGGACAATGCTTCAATCAACTGAGCCACCTGACCAGGACAGCTTTTTAAAAATTCAATTTTATTAAGTAAAATAGGATTTACTTATGGCCCCGTAGAGATTGTCTTCCTCTTTTCTTTATCCAGGACTAACATTTTTCTGATGTTTTCCTTAATATTCATTCCATAACTCAGTCTTCTTTTTTAAAACACAACTTTATGTAAAATTTTTTCCCTAGCCAGTTAAATTATATATTACACTTCTCAAAAAACTCCTTTTTAAATGTAAGCTATAGTTTAATCAGCAGAAAAAAATAGTTTATCTCTATCTACCTTGTAGTTCAAAAATAATTTAATGAAACAAAATTTATCTTAGTGATAATTTTTTTTAGTTTCTGAAATGTAAAAATCTTGCCCATTTTCAGTTTAAAAGTTCATTATCATTTTATGTTCTACATCTATAATAAACTTGCAAAAATTTCTTTTAGAAACAACTAAAATATTTCAGTATCAATAATTTCTGAAAGCAGTGGAATTTATATAATTTGATAAGCTTCCTCCTACATGAGAAGTCATTTTCCTTTCACTGCAGTGGAAGCAGTTGAATTAGTATAATTTGCTTTTGCTTCCTCCTACATGAAAAGTAATTTTCCTTTTACTGCATTGCTCTGGGCATAGGGCAAAGTATTTCGATTGGAGATAGGTTTGCCACATAAAATAAAGGACTTCCAGTTACTTTGAATTTCAGTTAAGTAATGGCTTTTTTGTGTGTGTGACACATTTGTTTTGTTATTGTTGCTAAATCTAAGCATAGTTGGAGGTGATGGAGGGAGCCATAAGTTTATGCCCTTGACTTGTATTAACCAATGACATATGGAATGTTTGCATTTTCTTCCAAACTTTTAAAAATAAAATAAAATGGAGGTTTAAAATATTTGTACCTTATCTACAGCAGTTTGTTGGCTGTAATAACAATCCAACAATACAGATTTCCCAGTGGTGGAAATCTACTTTTAATCATTTTAACACCAGGACAATATTAAAACTAACATTGTCTCATATATAACTCATAAGAGTTATATCTTTTGCCAATGTAAAGTTATCTTCTCTATTTAATAGGTGGAAGTGTCAAAAAGACAGAAAAATGAAAGAATATAATCAAGTATTTGTCATGAAAATAATTACATCCTCATGAATTAATATTTCTAGATGTTACAGTTTTATATATTTTTTTTTCAATTATGGTTTACACTCAATATTATTTTGTATTAGTTTCAGGTGTTCTGCATAGTGGTTAGATGATCATATACTTTACGAAGTGTCCCCCCGATATTTCTAGTACCCACCTGGCACCATACATAGTTATTACGATATTACTGACTTTATTCCGTATGCTGTACTTTACATCCCTTGACTATTCTGTAACTACCAATCTAATTCTCAATCCTTTCACCTTTTTCACCCATTACCCCAACACCCCTCCTATCTGGCAACCATCAGTCTGTTCTCTGTATCTATGAGTCTGTTCCTGTTTTGTTCATTTATATTGTTCTTTAGATCCCACAAGTACTGTAAGTGAAATTATATGGTATCTGTCTTTCTCTGACTGACCTCTTTCACTTAGCATAATACTCTCTAGGTACACCCATGCTGTTGCAAATGGTAAAATGTTCTTTTTTATGGCCAAGTATACTCCATTGTATATAGGACCACAGCTTTTTTTGTCCACTTGTCTATAGATGGGCACTTAGGTTGCTTCCATTTGAAAGAATATATGCACCCCTATGTTCATTGCAGCATTATTTACAGATTAGTTATTTGTATTTCAGGAAATACGAAGCTAACCATAACAAGAAGAAACTCTGTAATACCTTGGGACCCCAGACACTGTGCTTTCTAAATGGCATCTTTCAGACATTGTAATAATGAAAGTATATAATTATATAGAAAAGGAGAAAACAGTGAGCAAACTAGTGGACTTGAAAGCATTAAACTATCTCTTATGTCAAGAAAAATTAGAACATTTATTTATGATGTTTATACTCTTACAATTTAATATTAAAATAGTAAAGGCAGGGAAGCTTTTAAAAATTGAGAAATGTATTTTGTTTACTTAGATAGTGATGCTATTACATAATCTCAATAAATAGCTAAAAGCTCAGAAACTTGATATTGTCATGGACAGGTTCAGTATGAATTGGTGTATGTTCTAATTCATTTTGTGAAGACATCTAAAGAAACAGAAAGCAAAAGTTGAAGCAAGCCAGGGTCTGACAGTGCCATAATATCTTCTTGTTTTTTAAATAATGTATTGAAAATGATAAACTTATGCCTAAATGCCATTTGATCTGATTACCAAACATCTTGATATTATATATTCTAATAGTCATTCAGTTCTAAAGATTTCATACTTTCTCTTATTATTACCTTTTTAACTCATTGGTTATTTGGGAATGTGCATGGGTTTTTCAAAGTATATATTGGTTTGCCATATTTTATTGTTGATTGCTTATTTAATTACATTGTTAGAGAACCTTATGTAATAAAATTTGAGAACTGTCATGAATTCTTATGTTTCATACAAATTTGAAAAGAATGTATAGTCTCTACATGCATTTTAAAATATGTTGCACTAATTTGTTTTTATAAATGTATTATGCTTTTAAAATGTATTCTTAAAATATTCCTGTTTATTGGGTACAGGGCTGCCTTATGTCAGCCTTTTAAATTTACTTGTTCAAGTCTTTTGAGTCCTTACTAATTTTTGTCTGCCTGGTCCATCAATTTCTTATGGGAGTCCATTAAGATCTACTATTCTCCTTGTTATTCTATTGAGTTTTAGTTTATTTATTTTGATAAATAATGAGATATTTCCTCCTTTTTATCCTTTGTCAAGTATGAAAATCTGAATTCATACTGCTGTTTTATCCTTGAGTGCCAAAAATGCACATTTATCTCAGTATGAAGTGTATTACATACCAATGTATAAAGAGAATATGCAAGATGAACTGTTCATGTGTCCATTTCATTCTCGCCTTTTAGAGGAAAAGAAGTTATATCTCAAAGCTGGTGAGGGGGAGAGAAAAAGACATTATATGCATCTTAAAAATTTTTAAATTTGACTTAAATTGTGAATTTTTAAAATTAAATTTGCCAGAGCACATTCCAGGCTAATATGAAAAATTAAAGCTAAGTCCAGGTACAGCATTTTTTGAAAGGATGGCAACATTCCTTGAAAAGGTGGCTACTTGGACTTCATAGTCTACCATCCAAGACTCAAACAAAACTCCTGAAGGGGTGGGACCATAAAGTGGAACAGTATTAAAGGATGCTGTCCGACATATCACTGACTGTTACTGAAAAGCTGAGATGATTCCAAAGGAATGGCCCTCAGAAAGAGGCATTTGAATTCTGACCAAAATACCCTGAGAGTGGCAGATGCTAGAAGGAAAAGAAAAAAAAGAAATTAAAAGACAGCCTTAAAGATTTAACCCCCTAGCTGCTGTCCTTAATGAACTGATTGCAGAATAAGAGTTTTGGCGGTCAGCACAAAGCATTTCTAGAAAACGTTCCTAATGTGACCAGGAGAGATGTCCCCGCTTCCATCCCATCCCTACTGCTCCCAAATGCTGGGTGTTTGGAGGATCTCACTCACCTGCAGGGCCTCTGGTCTGAGGTCAGAGGGAGGGGAGATTTGGAGAACCTTGGACACTCATCTAGGGTATAGCAGAGTAAATACTTATTGGTTGGTTTGGGCATTTGGTTTATAGCATTCATACTGATTTTGCTTCTTAAAAATCACTTTTTCTTCAAACCTACACATGAAGGCAAATTATGTGTTTAAGCCTCTGACTCAATATAGCAGATAAGTTTGTAAAAACCACATTCAGACCAGATTTAGTGAAATCTTTTTTTCTTAAACACCTTTTTTCAAGTGAAAAGAAGTTCTGCAAACATTGAGACATAATTGAAATTCTGTTGCCAAAATGTCTCTCAGGTATTGAGATAAGCTAACAACACCTGCACTATTTACTATTGAAGTAACTAGTCATATGGCAATATTACTAATAGTAGTAGCAATTGTAAATGTGGTCACACCCATGGGTAGAAGGGAAAGAGAGACCCTCTACTAACTTGGGTGTGTAAAACTATCTTGGGGTTTGTTGTATACTCTTATCTGGACCTTCCACCCTCTGGCAGAATTGCAACAATTATGAACAAACTAGAGGCCTGGTGCATGAATTTGTGCATGGGTGGGGTCTGGCCGGCCCGCCCCGATGGGGGCCCATCTGGCCAGGCCCTCGGGGGGAGGGGCCTCAGGCGGTTGGTGGCAGGCCCTGATCGGGGTGTTGGGCGCTGATCGGGGGCTGGGTTGGCCAGTGGGGTGGGGGTGCAATGGGGACCCGGATCAGGCTGGTTGGCTGCCGCAGTGCACATCACAGCCACCGGTCATTCTGTTTGTTCTGCCTTTTCGGTCACTGGGCTTTTGTATATATAGATAATGGGAACTAAATCTGGGCAGGCTTTTCCCATTGAAACCATCTTCTTATTTTTTCCCCCCTTAATTACCTTGTCATCTATTTTTAGATGGTGTGTTGATATTAACAGCCAACCAAAGGCAATTAATTATATGAGGAAGTTTATATGAGCCAATAGGTTTTTGTTTTGCTGGTATTTTCTTTTTTTAAAAGGTGATAAAATGAGTGATTTCTTAGGAAAATGCAGTTTACCTAAATTGATGCAAGTAGAGAGAGAAAGCTTAAACCAATCAATATTCATAGAAGAAAAAAAGTTTTTGAGAAATAACAAACAAAGCACAAAGAGGTACCAGACCTAGATTGTTGCACAGGGAGATTCAAGTACACTTTTAGAAAACAGGTAGTCCCAATATTTTAAATTTGTTTCAGAATATAGCAAATAATGAAAAATTTACAAATTATTTGAGTAGGTATATCATGAACACCTAATCCTGATGGTAGAAAAGAAAGCCACAGACCTATATCATTTATGACAATTGATATAAAAATCTTAAATGCAATATTAGAAGTAGATTCCCAAACCAGTAGGAAAATAACACATCATAACCAGGTGTTTTGCTTTTTTTTTAAACCAGTAGTGCAAGAATCAGATTAGGATTCTGTTAGAAAATTTGTTAATAGAGCATACAATACTAATGAGTCTGAGGAGAAAATATGATTACCTTCACAGATGCTAAAAAAGCCTTTTAAAAATTCAACAGCTACTTCCTATAATAAATTAAATTGCAGTGAATAGATACTTAACATGATAAAATTAAAATTGCCAGATAAATTACGCATATGGAAATGTATGTACTAAAATTATTTGTCGATATAAAACTAGAACCTTGGGTATCCTGTATTTTAATTTGCTATACTGGCAATCATAGATAAAATGTACAAGCCTCATCCTAAAGATGGTTCTTACTTAGTGGAGAAATAGTAGAGGCATTTGCACTGAGATCAGAAATATGGCAAGAATTTTTAGTTTTCAGCTTCTTCATTGCAAACTTTGAATATATCCTTAAGAAATTATTTCCAGCAAGTAGAATTGTCTTGGTTATGGGCCACAGAATTATGTTGAATAATGAAAGTTGGAAAGACTGAAGAGAGAAATACTACTATAAAGTACCTCAAGTTAAAAAATAATCAGTAAACACTATCCAAACACACTCCAAAAGGTGACAGCATCAAAAGTCTAGAGTTGGTAGCCTTATTACTGATGCAATGTGAAAAATGTTCCCTGACACTGACGCCTCGCCAATAATTAATTACATATTGTGCATGGATCGCCATCAAGCTCAGTCTAAGACTCTTTAACAGGGGTATCACAAGTCAATAAATATTTTATTCTTCCAATAAAATTGAATCGCGATTATAGCAAGTTCAAAGTCCAGATTTCCTATGAAATATAAGTAGTAAAAGCTGCATGATCCAACATCTAGGGGGCAAAAAAGAAAAAAACATTCAGTAGTACATTTATGCTATATTTTTATGTTTAGTGTGCTGGTTGAAACTACAGGTTCTGAAAGAGACAGGCCTGTATTTCAGCCCTGTTATTTCCACATTTACTAGTCAAAGGCTCTGGCAAGCAAATGATCTTCAGTTTCTTTACCTGGATGGTTGTGAAGGTTAAATAAGATCTTGCAAAAACCCTTAAGAGTACAGCAAGCACAATACATGCTAGCAATTCATAAAAGTGTTTCAGAAAAAAAACAAAACACGACAATGCATTTATTATGTTAACATCTAATAGATCTACATTCATCACGCACACGAAATAGGACGCCTTCCTGCTGACCCCAGTCTCCTCTCCTGACCTAAAGAGCTGCAGGAAAAGCCTGGATGCTGTTCAAAACCTGATGTACATGGAATTCAGGACCCTAAGACGCGCACCAGGAGGCAGAACCCCACCGTTTGCAGAAAGGGCAGGCACCGGGCGGGAGGGAGAGGTTGCGGAGCTCATCACGAAGAATCCCTCCCCTGCGGACCCGGGGGCCGAGCCCGCGCATCCCGGTCGGGTCTGGCCGTTGAGCCCGCGGAGCAGGTGCGCGCGGCCCGCCCTCCGCCGCCGCCTCCCGCGCCCGGCCGCACGCGCAGGCGCAGTTAGCAGTCGCTGCTGGGCGGCCGCGGGCGGGACCGGTCTGGGAGACGCGGGGACCGAGTGGCAGCGACTCGGACATATGAGCTGCCACTGCCGAAAACGGGCCCGCAACACAGGTGCGTGGGCACAGGCCGCCTCCCCGCTGCCCCTTGCGCTCGGCTGGGATGAGGAATCGAAATCATTGCTTTTTGCCCCCGGGAGCGGGGGAGGGGGGCTGGGACGCACCCCTTCGGCGACCCGCCCGGCTGAGCTGCTGGGACAGGTGAGAGAGCGGCGTGGAGATGGGGTGGGGGCGCCGTGGCCAGTTCCCGGGCGGCTCTCCCGGCCTTGGGAGGAGGAAGGTCAGCCCGGCGCGGAGTTGGTGCCGCCAGGGTCCGTTGGGTCCCGAGGAACCGCCGTGTCCACCTGCTGCGACGGGCTCGGGAGGACGCGGGGTGCCGGGTGCCCCCAGCCCGGGCGGTCCCCGAGGCGGAGCCCCCGGAGCCGAGGCCGTTGGTCCAGCGGTTACCCTTCCAGCCCGTTCCACGCTCGAGGCCGGCTGCCGAGGGGTGTAGAGGGGACGTGGGGGTCGCGGGGGGCGCTGCTCGTCCCACCCTCTACGTCTCCCCAAAATGGGAGCCAAACCAACATTGGCTCGGCCTTCGCCATCCCCGCCCCTGTGAAGGCGAAAGGACCCCGCCCTGGGCTCCGGGCCACTCCCTGGATGCGCTGCCTGGAGCCGGCGCCGCCGCTGGGGACCAGCCGTGCACTTGGGTGACATCCAAAGGAGCCCTAATGACTAGGGACTCATTATCTCCCAAAGCCTGTTTATGATCAATCAGACGCTTTAGCCGATTTTATTTATAACATTTTCCCAAGGAATAAGGAGGGGGCATTTGCTTGGGATTTAAAAAGCAAAGGAACTCTGGGGGTGGGGGTGGGGGGGAGAAGAAGTCTCAACTTAGGAAAGAGTTCATTTATATTGAGACATTTTGATGCACAAGAGCCATTAAAGCCCCCGTCTAGCCTTAAGATTTTGCTGGCTTCAACATTGTACATCACCCTAGGTCACTTAATCACTCCGGGTAAGCCCTCCTGTTGGTGATTGTAAGTTTGATTTTTCAGTTGACACAGTTTTGCCTTCAGATCTAATTGGGTTCGATCTTCCAGTCACATTTACACCTTATCCCTAAATCCTTAGAACAAAGTCCTCTATGTTCTTGATACAGTTAATTATCATGTGTGTAAATGGCGTATATTGATGGCTCTGAACAAATTGAACAGTGCAGTAAATTAGCCTTATTTCTTATTTTCAGTACCTAATAAATTTTAGTGCGCTTAAATAGAAAGCTAGAATTGTTAACCTTCATGGGCCATTAGGTCACCTAATTTAACCCTTTTACGTGACCAATGATAAAACAGGCCCAGAGCAGTTTTAACCCATTGCCTTTTTATTTTTATTTATTTATTTATTTTTATTTTTAAAATATATATTTTTATTGATTTTTTATAGAAAGGAAGGGAGAGGGATAGAGAGTTAGAAACATCGATGAGAGAGAAATATCGATCAGCTGCCTCCTGCACACTCCCCACTGGGGACGTGCCCGCAACCAAGGTACATGCCCTTGACCAGAATCGAACCTGGGACCTTTGAGTCCGCAGGCTGATGCTCTATCCACTGAGCCAAACCGGTCAGGGCCTTTTTATTTTTTTTAAAATATATTTTTATTGACTTCAGAGAGGAAGGGAGAGACAGAAACATCAATGATGAGAGAGAATCATTGAATGGTTGCCTCCTGCACACCCCCAACTGGGGATGCGCCAGCAACCCAGGCACCTCCTGCACACCCCCAACTGGGGATCAAGCCAGCAACCCAGGCATGTGCCCTTGACCTGAATTGAACCTGGGACCCTTCAGTCTGCAGGCTGACACTCTATCCACTGAGCCAAACTGGCTAGGGCTAACCCGTTGCCTTTTTAAAAATAGGACTAGAAACCTTGCCATGGTGCCAGTTCAGTGTGTTTTCTATCCCATTCTGTAGATGAGTTCCCAAAGCTGCATGACAACTAAAACTTTAAATATAATAGTGATTTTCAAATACTGTTTTTGAGGCACACTAGCGTTGGACGAGTCCCCAGCCTGCCATTAAACCTGAATAGTAAAAAGGCATATAAGAATAGCACATAGGAAAGCATGAATATGTTAAATAGGCGAGTGTTGAAGAGAATGACAGAAATGAGTCTTAAATGGGCAGAATTTATGCTGAGAACTACAGAGAACTATTGAGCATTTTTATGAACAGCGAAATAAGTGTTGCTTTTTAAAAGAAAATTCATGCTAGAAGGTGGAGGATGGATTTGAAGGTTGGCAAGACTGGAGTTGAAGAGGCATAGTGGGAGTTTACTTCTTTTCAGAAAGCACGGCTTCCTTTCCCATCCTTAAGGCTGTGGCACGGGGACAGAGAGAAGCATTTAAGAAATACCCACATGTATTTAGTTACCAATGACTAGTTTTAAGATAATGGTTGACTGGAGGTGCAGTTAGTGGGAGAAGGGAATTAAGGAGATAGAGAAGCAGGCTTGGGAGGAAAAACCAAGTTCAAATTAATGGAAGCTTTGGGACATTCTTTTTTTTCTTTCTTTAATATATTTTATTGATTTTTTACAGAGAGGAAGGGAGAGGGATAGAGAGTTAGAAACATCAATCAACTGCCTCCTGCACATTCCCTACTAGGGATGTGCCTGCAACCAAGGTACATGCCCTTGACCAGAATTGAACCTGGGACCCTTGAGTCCGCAGGCCGACGCTCTATCCACTGAGCCAAACCAGTAAGGGCACTTTGGGACATTCTTGAAGATGGATAATGATTTGAATCTAAAGAGGAAGTGACCTCTGAATAAGATTTGAGAGTTTTAGCTAGCTTTTATAGCTAGAAGCCAAGTATGTTTTGCTAATGACTGTAAGTTTAGTGTCTGATATGTGCCTGGCACATATTGATGATCACAAGTATGTGTGAGTGATGAATTTTATTATCTACTGGCTAGACTCCTCTGAATTTCTGGAAACATTAGCTATCACCAAACGAGTAAATTCTGTAGCGTGCTATTTTCTTCTGTGAGAAAACAGCTGCATTTTAAGTCGAGTCTTGCAGCTTCTTTGGAAGAAGGCTACCTGCCAATAGTGTCACTGTTACCTGCCTCTTCACCTCATTTGTGATTCTTCAAAGTCAATTTTTAAGAATACCCTTTAATTTTGGTGAAAATTTATCCACTTTTATTTTTGTGATGTAGTAACACAAAACCCTTTAATTTTTCTGTTTATTATCTTTTCTAGAAAAGCAAATTATGAATTGAGTTGTTCAAATGCAGCATGTCCATAGCAAGATTATGAAATAACTCATAATCAGAGACGGTTTTTCATAAATGTAGAGTAGAATTTTAAAATATGATTAATTCTCCATATTAAACCAGATCATAAAACAGCAAACTTCCTAGACCATTATATTCCTACTCTATAGAAATGCCTTCATTTTGTTGTTTTAACAATGTTCTAATAAACTTTAGAAGACCAATATCAGAAGCATTGCCATAACTATTTATCTGTCTTAAAACCATAAAGACATCTATTGTGTAAGGATTCAGTTCATAAATTTTTCTAGGAGTTAAATTCCAGAAAAGATTTTTACCTCCAAGGAGCCTGTAGTAGACTTTTATAGTGAATACTCCCTCATTTTATTTCTGTTTTTCCCCAATTGCTTAGAAACCCTTTTGCTAAATTTGTTGCTGCCATACTGCTAAGAGAAAATTCTCCTAGTTGGTTGCTTAGAAACATCTCTTTTCCTCCTTCCTGGAACCTTCTCTCTCCTCCTCTCCTCCCCATCACTTATGCATTCATTCATTTATTTCATAAACATGTTCCTATTTATCATGTTCCAGCACTCTTTGGGACACTATGAATACAGAAATGATATAGAATTCCAGTGCTGGGTGAGCTTATATTTATGTCTGTTTTGTTTTTTGCAAGTTGCCCCAAGCTATTATTTTGGAACTATGTAGAAATAGTATAATCCTAAATAAATAAGAAAATGTATCATTATGATGTTTACGTAAAAAATGAGCAAATGATGCTATTTAGTCAATTTTAACTTTAGTGTGTAGCTATGGTTTTAAAACCCAGTGCAGATTTATTCACATATTCAGGATTTCAGTTCTCATCATTTCACTAATCTCAGACCTTTAGTAATTTCTCACTTTTATAACATTAGATCCAGACTCCTCGGATATTTTGTAGCACTTTGTTGCCTTAACCGCCAGAAAGTTGTATTTCCAATGATTATTTCTGCTAATTATGGTTCTTTCCCACTTTCTGCTGTATTTCTTAAGGAATTTTTGTTGTTTATAGGTTCTTCTGATTTAGGAAAATATACCCAGTTTTCGTCAACAAATGTATTAATAAATGTAATTCAAAAAAATAAAATTAAAAAAAGCCACCTCAGAGGCCTCACATGGTTTCTGGTGTTCCTAAGGAGTGGATGGCTGTGATGGTTAATTATATGTGTCAACTGAACCACAGCGTGCCCAGATATTTGATCAAACACTGTTCTGGGTGTGTCTGTGAGGGAGATTTGAATGAGATTACATTTGAATGTTAGAATGAGTAAAGCAGATTGCCCTTCCCAATGTTGGTGGGCCTCAACTAATCAGTTGAAGGCCTGAATAGAACAACAACAACAACAAAAACAGAACCCCTCCTGCCTGTATTTAGCTGGTACTGCAGTCTTTTCCTGCCTTTGAACTCAAACTGAAACCTTGGCTCCTCTTGGGCCTTTAGCCTGCTGGCTTTCAGACTGGAATTTATACCATTGGTTCTTCTGGCTTTCAGACTCAAGAGTAGAAATGCAAAACAAACTTTCCTGGGTCTCCCTCTTAACTCCACTTCACACCTAACTCCAAAGAAAATATAATATAGTGTTGTCCCCTGGAAAAAGAAAAAAACAACTTCGTGATCAGCTAGCAGTCTCTCTCACACTTTACAACAAATATTGGGGATCCTATGATTGTCTTATTTTTAGTGCTCTAGCTACCTCTGCTGTGGAATTGAGCCTTACTTCAATACCAATAAATGAACTGCACTTTA